CGCCTCGCCCTCACACCGCGGAAAGACGTCTTCGTCTACGTCCACGGATTCAACAACACATTCGACGAAGCCGTCCTCACCACCGCCGAACTCTGGCACTTCCTCGGACGCGAGGGCGTCCCCGTCTGCTACACCTGGCCAGCCGGCACCGGCGGACTCCGGGGCTACGAGTACACCCTCGCTTCCACAGAGTTCACCGTCCACAACTTCAAGAAGGCGCTCCGGCTCATCGCCTCCTGCGACGAAGTCGAACGCATCAACATCCTCGCCCACAGCCGAGGCACGCAGGTCACCGTCGACACGCTCCGCGAGCTCCACATCGAAACCAGACCCGTCGCCGACACGCAGCAAGTCCTGAAGTTCGGGACCATCATCCTCGCCGCCGCAGACATCGACCTCGACGTCATGATCGCCCGCAACGCCAACGAGCGCATCGGTCAAGCCGCGGAACGCGTCGCGCTGTACCTCTCGGACAAGGACGAGGCGCTCGGTTTCTCGGACTGGCTCTTCGGCGGCTACAGACGCGTCGGCAGCCTCGACCCCACCATGTTCAACCAAGCCGAGATCGCCACGCTCCGCGCCTCCCAGCGGCTGCAGCTCATCAACGCCGACGTCTCCCACCGCGGCGCCTTCGGCCACGGCTACTTCCACGCCAACCCATCCGTCAGCTCGGACATCGTCCTGCTCGTGCGCTACAACCTCCCCCCCGGAGCCGACTCCGGCAGGCCGCTCGACATCACCGACACGGGGCTCTGGGATCTGAGAGACGGCTACCCCGGCAAAGCCTGGTCCCTCCCGCCGCACGCGGCGCCACGCACCAACGAGAGCCCCTGACCGATGCGACGCCGCCTCTCCGCCGCTCTCGCGCACGAAGCCCGCGCCCTCGTCCCCGTCACGCTCTTCTTCCTCGTCGCGTTCCAGCTCCTCGCGCTGACGGACTCCCTCCTCGCCGCCTCCGAAGGCCTCCGCGTCTGGCCATTCGCCGCCGCCGCCGTCGGAGCGCTGATCGTCGCGAAGGTCATCCTCATCGCCGATCACACCCCGCTCATGCGCCGATTCGACCGGCGTCCGCTCATCGTCGGCGCCCTCTGGAGAACGCTCATCTATTTCATCGGATCGCTCGCGATACGCTTCGCCGAGCACCTGATCCGCTTCACGCGGCGCGACGGCGGCCTCGCCGAAGGGTTCCAGGCGATGACGGACGAAATCGTCTGGCCGCACTTCTGGTGCGTCCAGCTCTGGCTGCTCGTCCTCTTGTTTGTATATTCAGCCGCGCGTGAGTACACCGGGCTGGTCGGCATCGACCACCTCACGAGAGCCTTCCTCGGCGCCAATGCCGACGAAGACCCGCCCGCGCAGTGATCGGCAGGCAACAGACGGGAGGACCAATGAACACGCACCCACGAACGGATATCGCCAGCCAGGCGCTGCTCAAAGCCGCGATATGCCTCGCGCTCGCCGCCCCCGCGACGGCACAGAACGGAGACACCGACGCGACACAAACCGAGGCCGCAACCACCACGCCCGAGGCGGACACCGCCGACGCAACGACGCAGGGCGTCCTGCCCGTCCCCGAGTACGGCGGTGATTTCGCCGATCGCGCGTTCGCCCTGGGCGACCTCGACGGCGCCCGCACCGACCTCGCCGAGAAGGGCATCCAGTTCAACATCGACTGGACCAACACCGCACAGTCCATCGTCCGCGGCGGGCGGAACACCGGCGCCGCCTTCAGCGGATCGCTCGACTACAACCTCACCCTCGACCTGATGAAGATGGACATCCTCCCCGGCGCCGTCGTCACGTTCCGAGGCGAATCACGCTACGGCAACTCCGTGAACCAGGACACCGGCACGCTCCTCCCCGTCAACACCGACGCCTTCTTCCCCCTCACCGACGACATCGACGACAACGTCGCCTTCAACCTCACCACCCTCTCGCTCACCCAGTACTTCTCCGACACCTTCGCCGTATTCGCCGGCAAGTTCGACACACTCAGCGGCGATCCCAACGAGTTCGCCTCCGGACGCGGCACGTCCCAGTTCCTGAACTCGAACTTCAACCTGAGCCCCTCCCTCCTCATCACCGTCCCCTACAGCACCCTCGGCGGCGGCCTCATCGTCGCGCCGACCCGGCACATCACGCTCTCCTCCGCCGTCTACACCACCACCGACGCCTCGGACACCTCCGGCTTCGAGCACACCGACGACGGCTGGACATGGGCCAACGAGATGCAGGTCCAGTACCGCATCGGCGACAAACCCGGCGGCTTCAACCTCGGCGGAACATTCGCCTGGGACCACGAGTACAAAACCGTCGGCCGACAGTTCGTCTTCCAGCCCGGGCAGGGATTCACGCCGGTCGGTCCGGAAGACGAATCATGGGCCGTCTACGCCAGCGTCTGGCAGTACCTCCACGTCGAACAGGAACCCGCCCCGGACACCACGCTCAACCTCGCCGACGGGCGCCCGGACCTCCAGGGCGTCGGACTCTTCTCCCGCTTCAGCTTCGCGGACGAGGACACCAACCCCGTCGAGTTCACCTTCAGCGCCGGCCTCGGCGGAAGAGGCCCGTTCCCCGGACGGGACAACGACGTCTGGGGCGCCGGCTACTTCTACAACAGCCTCCAGACACGACGGCTCACCGCGCACCTGGGCGAGGACGACTCGGCCCAGGGATTCGAAGCGTTCTACGAGGTCGCGATCACACCGGCCGTGCGCGCTACCATCGACCTTCAGGTCTTCGAACCCGCCATCGAAACCATCGACACCGCGGTGATCCTCGGCGCCAGGCTCAGCATGAGATTCTGACCCCGGACCACACACTCCACCCGACAAGGAACCACGAGATGTCACATCCCAGCACGCCCCGCACCCGCTCCCTTCTCTCGACACGCCGACGCGCCGCCGGCATCACGGCCGCGTGCGCCGCGCTCGCCCTGGGCGCCGGCTGCGAGAACGCCGGACAGGGCGCCGTCTCCGGCGCCGCCATCGGCGCCCTCTCCGGGCTCGCCATCGGATCCATCACCGGAGACGCCGGCACCGGCGCCGCCATCGGCGCGATCGCCGGCGGCGTCGGCGGCGCCGTCATCGGCGACCAGAACGAGCGAAAGAACAACCAGCAAGCCAACAACGACACGCCACGCGAGGTCCACCCCGCCGTCGCCGAAGCCGACCGCGACCGCGTCTCGCTCACCCAGTTCGTCGGGCAGTGGGACGTCTCCGCGTGGTCCGCAGACCTCACCGGCGACCGACGCGACGTCACCGGAACCGTCACGGGCGAAGTCGAGCAGGCCTACTTCCTCCGCCTCGACGCCTCCCTCACCGTCGACGCCGAGACCAACCGGCGACGATCCGGAACACTCCTCTTCGGATCCGAGCCAGGACGCGGCGTCACCCTCTCCAGCCGATTCGACGACGCCCCCTCCACCTCACGCTTCGTCGGCTCCGCGAGCGCCGACGGTCGATCCTTCACCCTCGAAGAAATCAACCCCATCGAGCCCGCCGTGCGCCGACGCGTCGACATCCGCATCCTCTCAAACAGCGAGTGGATCATGGACGTCACCAACCTCGCCGAGAGCGGCTCGCCCCGCCTCGGTTCGTTCCGCTTCACCCGCAAGTAACGCCGCACACCCCGGCACGGAGGAACAGGAGAGCTCGCCGTGAAACGCTCGTGCACGCGCACCGCCGCCGTTCACCGCCGAGTCGCCGAAGCGTCGCTCGTCGCGTGCGCGCTCGTCACGCCGGCCGGCGCCGCGCCCCCCGACGCGCCCTGCTGCCCCGCGCCCGCGCGCCACCCGTCCATCACCGCCGCCGCGCGCACCGCGGCGCACATCGCGCCGAACACCGCCGCCACGACCGACACCGAGGGCATGGCCTGGATCCCCGCCGGCGAGTTCCGCATGGGCTCCACCGACCCGCTCGCCCGCACCGACGAATCGCCCGTGCACAGCGTCCGCGTCGACGGATTCTGGATCGACACCGCCGAGGTCACCAACGCGCAGTTCGCCGAATTCGTCGAGGCCACCGGCTACGTCACCACCGCCGAGAAACCCATCGACTGGGACGAATTCAAGAAGCAACTCCCCGAGGGCACCCCCAAACCGCCCGACGAGATGCTCCAGCCGGGCTCGCTCCTCTTCACACCGCCCGACCACCCCGTCGACCTCCGCCGCTTCGACCTCTGGTGGTCCTGGGCCGACGGCGCGTGCTGGAAACACCCCGAAGGACCCGGGTCGACCATCGAAGGACGCATGGACCACCCCGTCGTCCACATCGCCTGGGACGACGCCGTCGCCTACGCCCAATGGGCCGGCAAGCGCCTCCCCACCGAAGCCGAGTGGGAATACGCCGCGCGGGGCGGCCTCGACGGCGCCGTCAACACCTGGGGCGACGAGCCCGTCGACCACACCCGTTGCAACATCTGGACCGGCCACTTCCCCGACGCCAACACCGAAGAAGACGGCTTCGCCCGCACCGCGCCCGTCAAGTCCTTCCCGCCCAACGCCTATGGCCTCCACGACATGGCCGGCAACGTCTGGGAGTGGACCGCCGACCGCTACCGCCACGACGCCTACGCGCAGCGCACCGGGACCGACGCCCAGCCGCTCGTCGTCGACAACCCCGACGGCCCCGCAACCTGCGCCGACCCGCGAAACCCCCTCGCGGAGAACAGCCGCGTGAACAAGGGCGGCTCGTTTCTCTGCAACGACGCCTACTGCGCAAGCTACCGCCCCAGCGCCCGCATGGGCACGCCCACCGACACCTCCCTCGCCCACCTCGGCTTCCGCTGCGTCGCCGACGCCCCGCCCCCAGCGGCGGGCGAGTGAGCCCGGGAATACGAGAAATTTCATCGCCAAGTTTCCCGGAAACCACCGTGGGCGCGCACGAACTCATACATATACGAATTTTCACGCTTCCCCGCTCGCAGACCGGTTCACGCTCAGTAACCTGACGCGAACTCTGGAATCCCCACATTCAGGCTCAATTGAGGAGGAGCTCCGCATGCATCGTGCTGTTTTCGCCGCTTCGACGGTACTTTCCGCCGTCATCGCGCTCACACCGTCGAACGCATTCGCACAGTCGGATGCCCCGGCCGACGCCGCGCCCGCACCGGTCCTCGACCGCACCGTCCTCCCCATCGCGGACCCTGTCCGCCCCAGCTACACGGAGCTCGACGTCCGCGACACCACGCCCCCCAAGCACTTCGAGGTCACCGCGCCGAAAGACGCGCCCAACGTCGTCATCATCCTCATCGACGACCTCGGCTTCGGCGCCACCTCCACCTTCGGCGGCCCCATCCCCACGCCCAACTTCGACCGCATGGCGAACAACGGCCTCCGATACAACAACTTCCACACCACCTCTCTCTGCTCGCCCAGCCGCGTCGCCATCAAGTGCGGACGCAACCACCACATGGCCAACACCGGCTCCATCATGGAGACCGCCACCGCCTACCCCGGCAACACCGGCGCCATCCCCAACCGGATCGCTCCGCTCGCCGAGATGCTCCGCCTCAACGGTTTCAGCACCGCCGCGTTCGGCAAGTGGCACGAGACCGCCCCCTGGGAGACCAGCGTCTCCGGCCCCTTCGACCGCTGGCCCACCCGCCAGGGCTTCGACAAGTTCTACGGCTTCATCGGCGGCGAGACCGACCAGTGGGCCCCGCTCATCTACGACGGCGTCCGCAAGGTCAACCCCCCGCAACGCGACGGCTACCACTTCACCGAAGACATGACCGATCAGGCCGTCAACTGGGTCAAGGCCCAGCAATCCATGACGCCCGACAAGCCATTCTTCGTCTACTTCGCCACCGGCGCCACCCACGCCCCGCACCACGTCCCCAAGGACTGGATCGAAAAGTTCCACGGGCAGTTCGACGCCGGCTGGGACGCCATCCGCGAGCAGACCTACGAACGCCAGAAGAAGCTGGGCGTCATCCCCGCCAACACGCAGCTCCCCCCGCGCCCCGAAGACCTCGCCGGCTGGGACGCGCTCGATGAGAACTCGAAGAAGCTCTTCCGCCGCCAGGCCGAGGTCTTCGGCGCCTTCGTCGCCCACACCGACCACCACATCGGCCGCCTCATCGACGCCGTCGACGAGATCGGCGAGCTCGACAACACCCTCATCTTCTACATCGCCGGCGACAACGGCACCTCCGCCGAGGGCGGCATGGTCGGCATGTACAACGAGATGACCTACTTCAACGGCGTCCAGGAGACCGTCGAAGAGCTCCTCCCCCTCATCGATTCCTGGGGCAGCAAGTCCACCTTCCCCCACATGGCCGCCGCCTGGGCCGTCGCCTTCGACTCCCCCTTCAAGTGGACCAAGCAGGTCGCCTCCGACTTCGGCGGCACCCGCAACGGCATGGTCATCCACTGGCCCGACGGCATCAAGAACACCGGCGGCATGCGCACCCAGTTCTCCCACGTCATCGACATCGCGCCCACCATCCTCGAGGCCTGCGGCCTGCCCGAGCCCGTCATGGTCAACGGCGTCCAGCAGATCCCCATCCAGGGCACCGCGCTCAACTACACCTTCGAGCACCCCGACGCGAGCGAGCGCCACACCACCCAGTACTTCGAGATGTTCGGCAACCGCGCCATCTACCAGGACGGCTGGTTCGCCCGCACCATCCACCGCGCCCCGTGGAAGGTCGACAATCTCCCGCCGCTGGAAGACGACGTCTGGGAGCTCTACAACGCCAAGGAAGACTTCTCCCTCGCGAACGACCTCGCCAAGCAGCACCCCGAGAAGCTCGCGGCGCTCAAGGAGGTCTTTATGGAAGAAGCGACGAAGAACCACGTCTTCCCCATCGACGACCGCACCATCGACCGCGCCAACCCCGCCCTCGCCGGCCGGCCGGACCTCATGGGCGGCCGCACCTCCCTCACCCTCTACCCCGGCATGCAGGGCATGCTCGAGAACACCTTCATCAACATCAAGAACACCTCCTTCACCGTCAAAGCCGAGATCGAAGTCCCCGAGGGCGGCGCCGCCGGCGCACTCCTCGTCCAGGGCGGACGCTTCGGCGGCTGGTCCCTCCACCTCCGCGAGGGCAAGCCCGCCTTCGAGTACAACTGGCTCGGCCTCGACCGATACGTCATCGAAGCCCCGGACGCCCTCAAGCCGGGCAAGCACACCGTCACGTTCGAGTTCGACTACGACGGCGGCGGCCTCGGCAAGGGCGGCGACGGCGAGCTCTCCGTCAACGGCAAAACCGCCGCCAAGGGCCGCATCGACAAAACCCAGCCCAACATCTTCTCCGCCGACGAAACCGCCGACGTCGGCCTCGACAACCAGACCCCCGTCGCCAAGGGCATCGGCTACGGCCCCCACGAAACCACCTTCACCGGCAAAATCCACCGCATCACGGTGAGCGTGAAGGAGTAACGAAAGCCCACCACCCGGCGCTCACGCGAAAGCGTGCGCGCCGGATTCCAGCATCGCCCGTCACGCAAAGACCTGGTTTCAATCGAAGCCACCGACCCGGGCACACGCCGCGCAGGTGAGCGAATGGAGCGGAAGGGACTCGAACCCTCAACTTCCAGCTTGCAAAGCTGGCACTCTCCCAATTGAGTTACCGCCCCGAGGGGGCCCCAGTATAGCCGGGGAATACTCCGGCGAGCCCGGGCGTTGGCCGCTCCGGACACCGACAAAAACGCCCCGCACGGGGCGACACTCGAAAAGGAATCCGACCATGACCCGTCACACCTTCGGCGCGATCGCCGCGCTCTCGCTCTGCGGCACGTTCACCCTCGCCCCGGCCCTCGCCGAGCGACCCGCGCTCCTCGCCCAGGACGCCGCAGAGAAGGAGCCTGTCCGCAACACAGCGGAGTGGCACCTCGAGAAAAACAAGCCCGCCATCGGCGGCTACGACCCCGTCGCCTACTTCCCCGAGTTCGGCGGCAAGGCGGCGAAAGGCAAGAAGGACTTCGAGTTCGCCTACAAGGGCGTCACCTACCGCTTCGCGAACCAGAAAAACCTCGACGCGTTCAAGCTGAACCCGAGCAGGTACGAACCCGCCCACGGCGCCTGGTGCTCGTACGCCATGCTCTCCGGCGAGAAGACCGAGCCCGATCCCAAAACCTACATCGTGAAAGATGGCCGCCTCTTCCTTTTTTACAACGGATTCTTCGGCAACACGAAAACGAAATGGCTGGAAGCCGACCACGACACGCAGGTCAACACCGCCGACGCCTCGTGGAAGAAGATCTCGGGCGAAGAGCCGCGGAAGCCAAAGGAAGAAGAGAACACTCAGGGCTGATCACCTGATGGAATCTCCCGCCCGTGCGGATCCACCCGCGCGTCGATGAGCGGCGCGATCGGCTCGCCCGTCTCGTCCTCCACGTGCTCGAGCACCTCCGCGAGCGGGTGCACGTGGTCCGCGCGCACGCCGGCTCGGTCCACGAGGTACTCCTCCCACAACCGGTGGCGACGCACCAGCGCCCGCGCCCGCTCCCGCCCGCCCTCCGTGAGCGAGAGCACCTCGCCCTCCGTGCGCACGAGGCCGAGCTCCGCCGCCCGACGCGCCGCACGCCCCGCGAGCCCGGGCGAGCCCATCACGGACGCGACCTGCGCGAGCGCCACGCCCGCCTCCGCGCGCCCCGCCTCGCCCGCGCGGTAGAGCACGCCCAGAACGTCCTCGATCGCGATCCGCTCGGACATCCGCGCCCGCCGCACCGCTCGCACGAGCACGCCGTGCGTCGGCGAGAGCACCGCCGTGCCCGCGAATACGAGCCCGAGCGTTACCGTCATCATCCCGCTCGCGCTGAGTGAGTGCTCGAACCCAAGAAGCCCCGGCCCCCACGACGCCAGCGCGTACCCGAGCACGCTCGACCCCACGCCGATCACCGCGCTGAGCCAGACCTGACGCGAGAGCCGGTCCGTCAAAAGCCGCGCCGTCGCGGCCGGGCAGATGAGCATCGCGATCACTAGGATCGACCCCACCGCCTCGAACGACGCGACCGTCGCACACGCCACGAGCACCATCAACGCCGCGTGGATCGCCCCGGACGGGATCCCCGCGCTGCTCGCGAGCCCGGGGTCGAACGTCGAGATCCGCAGCTCCTTGAACAGTACGACCACGAACACGAGCGTCAGCGCGCACGACGCCGCGAGCGTCCACACCTGACGCGGGACCTCGCGCAGGAGATCGCCGATCGACGCCCCCTCGGGCGGCGGCGGGATCCAGTAGAGCGTCTCGAGCTGCCCGTTGAGCACGCAGTCCGCGTCCAGGTCGATGTGCTCCAGCGCCGCGGACTCGAGCAGCAGCACCCCCAGCGCGAAGAGCACGCTGAACGCCACGCCCATCGCCGCGCCGGACTCGACCTTCCCGAACCGCTTCACGCACGCCGAGAGCGCGACCGTCAGCACCCCCGCGGCCGTCGCGCCGAGGAACATCGGCAGCGGCCCGCGCGAGCCGGAGACGATGAACGCGATGACGAGCCCGGGGAGCACCGCGTGCGAGATCGCGTCCCCCATCAGGCTCTCGCGGCGCAGCACAAGATAGTTCCCGAGCAGCGCGCACGTCAGCGCCGCCAGCGCGCCCGCGAGCATCGGCATCAGGTCGATCATCACGAATTCGCTGTTCACGACGCGACCGCCTTCCCGTTCTGGGCGAGCAGACGCTCCAGCTCGCGCACCAGCTCGTCGCTCAGGACGTGCTCCACCTGGTCGACGGACCAGTCCACGTGGCTCGGCGCGACGTCCGCGTACGAGACGAGGTACTGCTCCCAGAGCCGGTGGTTCCGCGCGATCCGCCGCCCGCGCTCGCGCCCCGCGTCCGTGAGCGCACCGTCGCGCAGGTACCCCCGCCAGGCGCACAGCCACGTCACCACGCGTGCCTGAACCGAATTCCACCCGCGGTCGTGCGCGACCGACGAGCGGATCTCGCCGAACGGCCACCCCGGCTCGTCGTGCAGCGCCTCAACGAGGTGGTCCACCGCCATCTTCATCCGCAGGTCGAGCGACCGCCACGCCCGCGCGAGGATTCCGCGCCGCGGCGCGCACAGCATGCTGAGCGCGAACAGCCCCCCCGCGCAGAGCACGATCACGCTCCCCGCCGGCGCGTCCGGCGCCAGCGCGCTCGCCGTCGCCCCGAAGTACCCGCTCAGCGCCCCGATCCCCGTCGCGATCGCCAGCATCGAGAACAGCCGCTCCGTCCAGAACCTCGCGGCAGCGGGGGGGATCACGAGCATCGCCAGAATCAGAATCAGCCCCACCGCCTGGATGCCCACCACCGTCACCACCACGATCAGCCCCATCATGACGAGGTCGATCCGCGACACCCGGTACCCCTGTGCGCGCGCGAACGAATCGTTGAAGCACACGAGCGACAGCTCTTTCCACAGGAAGGCCGTGGCGAGCAGCGCGAGCAGCGCCACCGCGCCCATCGTCACCGCGTCCGCCATCCGCATCGAGGCCGTCTGCCCGTAGATGAAATGCCCGAGCCCCCCCTGGTCGCCCCCCGGCATCGATTGGATCACGCTCTGGAGCACGACGCCGACGCCGAAGAACACGCTCAGCGCGATCCCGATCGCCGCGTCCTCGCGCAGGCGCGTCCACTTCAGGATCGCCTGCACGCACAGAACCGCGAGCACCCCCGTCACCGCCCCGCCGAGCAGGAGCACGGGCACGGACTTTCCGTTCGCCCCGAGCGCCGCGCTCACGATGAACGCCGCGCAGATCCCGGGCAACGTCGCGTGCGACAGCGCGTCCGCCATGAGCGAGCGTTTGCGCAGAAGAGCGAAACACCCCACGAGCCCGGACGCCGCGCCGAGGAGCACGGACGCGACGGTCACCACCGTCGTGTTGTACCCGCCCCGGAACGTCAGGATCTCGAAAAGCTCACCCGCCATCGCCCGCGCTCTGCTGCTTCTTGCGCTTCGGGCGCGTGCTCGCGCCGCTCTGCGCGACCGCCTGGCTCGCCCGCTCGAGGAGCGTGAGCCGGCCGCCGTACGTCTTGCGGAGGTTCTCGTCCGTGATCGTCGTCGCCGCGGGCCCGCTCGCGACGATGCGCATGTTCAGAAGGATCGCCTCGTCGAAGTACGTCCCCGCCGTCTGCAGGTCGTGGTGCACGCAGATCACCGTCTTGCCCGAATCGCGGAGCGTGCGCAGGACCTCGATGATCGCCCGCTCGGTGGCCGCGTCGACGCCGGCGAAGGGCTCGTCCATGAAGTACAGGTCGGCTTCCTGCGCGAGCGCCCGCGCGAGGAAGACGCGCTGCTGCTGACCGCCCGAGAGCTGGC